AGCCCGCGGGCTCGCGCTGCGCCCAGGAGCGCCGCCGGCTGCACCCAGGGAGGCCCGCGAGCGTCCCAGGGGAGGGGAGGGGGCCGCGACTTCCGACCAAGTCAACGGAATAGTATATACAGCTACTGTTTTAAGTTCACGTCTGTGACTTTAAGCATGCCAGACTGAGTACAGTCACGCGTCTAGCTTCATCTGTGCGCACTGACCCAGTTCCCTCGTACTGCTGTGAACGAACCACCGACAGGTTAGGTGGCTGCGGAGGGAACACCGGGAGTGAGGCTGGGGCGCTCAGCTGGGGTCGGGGCGTTCCTCTCCCCCGGGGGGCGCTTTCCGCGCACTAGCCCGGTAGGTGTTCTTTGGAATCCTTGCCGTTCCAAACGGTCTTTGGCCCTGTGCCCCTGGCTTCAGAAACTCAAATCATGAAAATAGAGACAAATGTGGGTCAGAAGTAAGGGAGGACTGCGGACAGTTTCTTCCCTTCCGTTTCATGTAGTTAAAGTTTTGTTTCAATTTGATAAGGCTACATTTGTTAGGAAAGGAGTTTCCTAACAGTGCAAAGTCTTAATGGCTGTGGATTTGTGCAAAACTAGAGAACTCAGTTTAACGTTTAAGCTCCTAGCAGGAGAGGGGACAGAGAGCTTTGAGTACTTCATTTGCTCCACTTACAAAATATGTAATTATTTATTTTTAATGAGCTGCCTTTTAAATTCTGGTGTCTCGAACTTGTTTTCCAAAGTTCACTGATGGCAGGCCCCAACCAGGATGCCATGGTGGGAAGATCCGTGCAGAAGCAGTGGGGGGAGCAGGGTTCTAATCTTGCCTCTCTATAGACTACTATGTGTCTTCTTGAGTCGCAACCTTCTTATCCTGGAAGGGAAAACAATTGCATTTATTGTCCCAAGCACACAGGGTCGTTGAGGGGCCAAAAGGAGAGTCTGTAGGCACCGAACTTGGTGTTGCGCTTGAGTTATGTGAATATGAGGTAATATTTTACCAGATATAACAATAAGGAGGCCTCCAAATGTGATCATAGGGTGAAAGGAGTCAGTAAGTCTAGGTTTATATCTTAGCTCTACTACTAACCTGCTGTCTGACCTGGAGCTAGTTTCCTTTACCTTCTAGTGAAGGTTTTGGGAAATTCCTATTTCTTAAAATTTACAGAGTGCCTTCCCCAAACAATTAAATGCAATAATTTCCAGGGTCTAATTCTCTCAGTGGACTTTGGGTGGCCAGAGATGTGCTCCTCAATAAAGAAATTTCAGAGTACAGTCAGTACACATAACAAATGGTATTGACATTATTTTATACTGTTTCTGGGATCTGAGGCCTCCTCATGGCACTCATTAAAAACAATCTTTTAATTCTGCAGATGTAAGAATTGGGAGTACCTGGAAATCACGAGGCTAGGGTGTCATTAGGTTTTACATTAAAAAAACCTCTTATTATAACCATAGGACATACACGTACCTCCTAGAATCCAGGGGAAAGTTTGTGGATAGAGCCACCAAGCCAGTTCTACTACTATAAAAGCAATTCAAAGCACTTTCCTCACTCCCTCTTCTATCTTATTTATTTTTTGCTCTTGGAAAAAAAAAAAAAAAATCTGTAACCATTTTTAGATTGACCTCATCAATTAGAAGCACAAGTATTCCATACTGGCTTGTTTGTCTAATGCTGGGCCAAATCTGTAAAGTTATTGATGGGTGGTACCTGGGAACTCCCTGGTCTTTAATTGCTGCTTTTTTTTTCTTCCCCCAGATGAAATGGCATAGACTGTGAACTCTGGGCTGTTTCTTCCTCATTGGCAATAGGTTGATTTTTGTGTTGATGTATGTTTTCATTTCTCATTGATATATACCTAGGATTGGAATCGCTGCATCATACGGTAACTCCATGTTTAACATTTTGAGGAACTGGCAGTGTTTTCCCACGTAGCTGCACCAGTTTCTCATTCCCACAAGCAATGTGTGAGGGCTCCAATTCCTCACCAACACTTGGAACCCATCATTTTTATTATATCCTAGTGGTTGTGACATGGTATGTCATCGTGGATCTCATCTGCATCCCCCTAATGCCTAATGATGTTGAGAATCTGTTCATATGCCTATTGACCATTTTGTACATCTTCTTCGGGTCTCCTCAGTCTTGATGGGTCCAAATTGAAACGCCTTTGTATAGGGAGGGACTGATGGCCATTTACAGGAACTGACATCCTTCCTTCACGTGAGGCAAAATCAATAGTTGTTTAAAAATACAGTGAGAATACTTAAATAGATTGCATAGGACTCTGTTTAAAAACACCCTTTATCTTTAAAAAATTATGAAAGGTAAGCTCAGAGTTAAATGATTGAGAGGAAATTTCTCTTTTAGAGTAAATAGGTAGTGAATACAGTTTACTCTTAAAGAATTAAACAATGGGCTCATAAGAGACATTATCACCAATGTTTCTTTTGGAGGAGGCTTGCTTAGAATTTAGTAGATAATGTAATAAATCTGTTTTGAAAAAGGTATTTTAATATAAATAAACCCATATAGAAAAGATAAAGTATTTTTGTTCATGTTTGTGGGGGGTGGTCTATCACATGGCCCTGGCCTTAATGGTGCTCAATTAATATTTGCTGACTTTAATTTTAAAGTCACCTCCACTCTACTTAACAATAATAGCTACTGTTTACTGAGTGCTTACGATGTGCCAGATGAGAGCTTCATATATGTTATCTCATTTACTCATCTATGAGGACGTGCTCTTACAATAAT